ATCATTGTTACCTGGCAGCGGTGAGGACAGCGGTAGGAAGGCAGTGGCACAAGTAAACAGTTTCATGAATGAGAATGACTCGCTCCCTGCGTTACAGCTCGTTATTTCCTCTCCCTGTATCCTTATTCCTACGTGTCTGTTGCAGCAGGGCTGTCACCAAGCAGCCCATGTGTTTGTGGGTTTGCAGGGCTTCCAGTTTTTGGCCAGGTGTGGGGTGGGGAGCTTGGTTGTTGAACAGGACTGAAATGAGCTGGCCAGGCTCCAGGTACATGGATGTCTTGGTTCCACACAGCCAGAGGCTGGTGCTAGACTTGTCCCCCAGGTTGTTTTGTTCCTCTGTTCCCCTCCCTGCAAGCGTGGCTGTGGCTGCAGGGAACCAGACTGGGAACCTGGCCTGGGTTAAAGCTGTCCAGAAAACCCAGACACGGGTCTGTACCTGGCTGTCTCCTGATCTGGTTCAGGACTGCTCCTCCAGCCATGCCAGGGCTAGAACAAGAGGTGACAGCTCTCTTTCTGGGGACAGCAGGAGCTTATGCCAGCTCGCCCCTGGCTGCCATGAGGCCGCTGTTGCCCAGAGCTGCTCACTGCTCTGTGCTGCCTACCCAGGGGAGGGGCGGGGAGACCTTTACCTCCATGGTGGTGGCTTCCAGGGGTGTGTGGTGTTAAAAGACTGTCAGGCTCCTCCTTAAGTCCTTCCCTTATACCACACATACAAGCTGGAGTCTTTCCCAGAGTTGCAGGCTCTCACAGAGCAGCTTCACTTGCCCACACAAACTGGGTGGCACTGGGAGCTTTATCTAACTTACCTACCAGCAGCAAGCATGGTCACAGCGGGGGAGCTCGGTGTCCACGCCGCACCAGGTACCTGATGGCAGCTGCTTACTCACGGTCCCTTCAGCAACTCTGCCCCTGCAGCTGCAAGCGGGGATGTTACAGAAGAGCAAAAGCACCAGCCAGCCTGACCATCAGCTGAACATTGCTGTGGGGTCCCAGCCTGACCATCAGCTGAACATTGCTGTGGGGTCCCATCCTGACCATCAGCTCAGCATTGCTGTGGGGTCCCATCCTGACCATCAGCTCAGCATTGCTGTGGGGACCTGTCCCGACCAGCAGCGGCAGCTCAAGGTAAGCTACTGCGCTCGGCATAACCAGGGCTCTTCAGAAGGGGCCAAACAGGATTTTTAATGTTTTTTTTCATGTGATGGGGACAAGGGTTTTGACAAACTTGAGCTTTTTTTCTTGCATGTGAATCTTAAGGTAAGGGTGGGGTGGAGGGTGTGTCCCTGGCACTCTTCAAACTGCCAGCGTGGCTGCAGTTCTGCAGGTTCTGCCCTAAATCCCAGAGGTTTTTCCCCACCTGTACCTCATGGCAGAAGTCTCAGCATCGGTGCTTTCTCTGTGTTGAGGTTCACACACTGACAGGTTTTGAACTGGTCTCAAACCAAACCCATTCTTGTTCTCTAAGCTGGACATTCTAGCCTGGTACAGCTGGGAAGACTTTTGTCCAAACCTCTGCTCAGAGAAAATGTGTTGGATCAGGTCACTCAGGAGCTTGTCCAGTGGAAGTCTGAGTGTCTCCAAGGATGGAGATGCCACAGCTGCTCCCTGTCCCTGTTCCAGTGTTTGACCACCCTCATGGTGAAATTTTTTTCCATGCAGTTAATGAGGATTTCCTGTTTTCCAGCTTGTGCCCATTGCCTCTCATCCTGTCTGACAAAAGCCTGGCTCCATCTTCTCTACACCCTCCCACTAGGCCGTTGTAGACAACAGTAACCTCCCTCCTTTACCTCCCCTTCTCCCAGCTCTCGTCCTTTCAGTCTTCTGACTGTTCCCCTGCAGCACCCAAGCAATGGCCTCTTCTGGGGGCCAGGGTGATGGGAGCAGCGTTAGAGCCATGAACCTTCACCACTCATCCACCTTACCCAAGCCTGGATCCATTGGCAAGGGAGAAAGTGGCCTCTAGCATTTGAACCCAACCTCAGTTCTGGTTGGGAGACCCACACCAGTCTGCCCCACAAATACAATCCCACCTTGGCCCCTTCATTGTGATAAAGTACATTTATTGTTAAAAACCTCCAAGCCACTCTGCCTGCCCTCGCTGCTGCCATGCCACAGCTTGGGGCCATCATACAGAGCACAGCTCAAGTCCTGGCTGGTGGCACATTTGCAAGACTCATCAGCTGCAAGAGAAGTCTCCCATTGCTGCCATCTTTTTCTCCATTTTCTTGTCTACAACGCTTACAAATTTGTTTCCTCGTAAATAAAACCTGAGAGGTTTCTCTGCCCACTCTCCCCTGTTGCCAATACCAATCCTTGTTGTGGCTACCACATCCTGCTCCCCTGGTAGGTCATGTCCAGGTACCATCCAGATGGTTGCATCTTGAGTCAGGTCCCTTTGGTCAAAAGCTTTATCGATGCCAAATGCTTGGCAGAGCTTGGAGGGCCCGTTGCACAGCTGCCAGTCCTTCAGCGGCTTTGTGGGGCCTTTCCTTGAGGCGCTGCGCAGCTCTCGCATCGCTTCTAAACCCTGGAGAGGTTCCAAAGAGCGAAGTAAGACTGCAGCCCCATCCCCTGTGCAGAACAAAGACACGTTAGTACAGGGTTCTTCATCAAGAACATCTCAGCTCAGGAATAACTACACACATGGATCAGTTTTGGCTCAGCTATCCAAAGCTGCTCCCAAACCCAGTGGATTTCATAGAATCATAGAATGGTTTGGATTGGAAGGGACCTTAAAGATCATCCAGTCCCAACCCCCCTGCCATCAGCAGGGACACCTTCCACTAGACCAGGTTGCTCAAAGCCTCATCCAGCCTGGCCTTCAACACTTCCAGGGAGGGGGCATCTACAACTTCCTTGGGCAACCTGTTCCAGTGTCTGACCACCCTCACAGTGAAGAACTTCTTCCTAATATCTCATCTAATTTCAACTCTGATTACAAGAACTCCAGCTAACCAAGGAGAGGAGGAATGAGTCTGGGTGCTGCCCGCAGAAAGAGGCAGCTGGCAGAGTCAGGCTGGACAAAGAGAAACCTGGGCAGGAGCTGCAGGCACTGGGAGCAGCTGCTGAGGGAGCCCTGGCTGCAGGCATTACCAGTTCAAACACCCAACTGGAGGGGTGACAGCAGGTGGGATGACCATGGCTGTGGGCAGCTGTGTAGCTACAATGGAGAGCGATCCAAATCCTTGTGCCAGGGAAGCTCTCAAAAGACAGGGACCTGGGGCAGGACAGGGCTGCATGGCCCTGGGAGCATCACTCCAGCAGAGACCTTTCTGTGACAAGTGAAGATTCTCTTCTCAAACATGATGTGCCACCCTGTCAGGGGCCGTAGGGAGCTCCAGCTCCCCACAGCTGCTGCCATCAGCTGCCCTGCCTGGTTTTGGTGACAGTGAAGCAAAGGTGCAGCTCTGAGCAGAGACATTCCCAGCCTAAGTGGGACAGAAACACTTCCTTGGTATTTTCCACTGGACAGCAAGGAAGGTCTTCTCATGACCCTGAGTGGGCGAGGAGAGAGCCTGGTAAAGCTGTCTGTGTGCTGCCCCACACAGCAGCCCTTGTGCTGGGGCCGCCCACGGCATTCCCCCCCGCCAGCATCTGCGTGCTGGGTGATGCCACTCCCCAAGCATCCCCTCTCCCTCTCTGGTCTCAAACATCTGGAGCCACGCTCCCGCCTGGCAAAGGCTTTTTTCTGTAGGTGCTGACAGATCCCTGAGGATCCATGATTTCCATAAATAGAGTCCCTCTCACATTTTGTACAAATCCCACACTAAATCACCGTTACCCTCCCAGGCTCCCAACTGAGGGGCTGATTTCTGGCTTTCCGAGGTGTGCCTCTTGCCCTGAACCTGCTCACAGCCCCTGCTGCCTTCAGTGCAGCTCCGTGAAGTCAGCAGAGACCAACAGCTGTCAGCAGTCTGGTCCCCAGCACTCCCTTCTCTGAGGAAGGAGATTGATGCTAAATTGGCAATCAAAACCTGCTTCCCTCTACTGCAGTGATTTAGAGCTCAAAGGTCATTTTAGATTTTTAAGAACATGCTCCATGTCCCAATTCTGCTTTTCATCCATGCACAAAGCAACATCCTTCGCATTGGGACGCTGCCTCATTCGCCAGGAGCAGCTGTGGGATTCTGAGCAATCACCAGTTACAGTATTTGCCCTGATCCATGACAAACACAAGTGCAAACTGTGGTCAGACTTGACTTGAACCCAGTCCTTGGGAGTTCACGTGGAGGGACAAGCACTCTGAGAAGCTGCAGGTGCTCCCTGAGCATCGGCAGAGCCACGGCAGTGGGTACCTGGCATTTCTGT